CACACCCCTTTGTGATGTGTAGCTGCCGGACGTGGAATGCCCTTACTGCATTTGATTGTCCAGGTGTAGTAGATGTCACTGACAGCTTTGCAACTTGGGAAAACTGGGGTGAACTTGGTTCACACCAAGCCCTAACAGATGCCCAGTTTTGAGCAGTTGATCATACCAGTTCAGACTCTACACCAGTATATTGTGCTTTTCCAAATGGGAATACTGTTACTTTAAACCTTATTCCAACATAATGGATACCACTGATACTGCTGGACAGTTAAACTGCCTATATTGGCTGCCACTGGTCAGAGCCTGTCACAGAATATCAGCAGAGCTCTGGTGCATAACGGTAAGAAGGTCAGTACTGGAATACCAATTACAATACCCTCCAAGCACTCCTTGTAGCAAATACAATTAGGTGGAATGTCCCCCTTTCTGCAGCTTTCTCGGTCAGCCCACAGGAATAGTTCTAGCTATAGCCAGACTCCAGAGCGTGGTTATTTTGTACATCTATACTAGTGGTTGATGAGTTCTTATCTTTAAATGACAGAATCTTGTTAACATTTTTATTAACTTTGTCAGTTTACTGCACTACCTGCTGCTGAGCCTGCTGCCTCATTATACACATTCCTGCTCAGTCTGTGCAAGCACCAAATTAGAGGAGTGCGAGGCTGATTGATAGAATTAGTTATACCACAGGCTGTACCTGTCAGGCTCCTGTTCAGATAGTTTATTAGCATGAGTAGTGATACCAGCATTGGTACTGACACAGTATTATCTGTCACCTTTATCCCAAGCTGTCACTTCTCTCTGAAAATGAGTACTATTCACTGAAAATTAGCTTCACTCACTCAGAACTTCAGTGGGATTCTCACCATTACTGCGTGTTAGCTTTAATAGCTGAGTCAGTTGAAGTGTCACAATATAGATCATCTTTTGGAGTCTCTGAATAATGCATAATAGTATGTCTTTATATTATGAGTACTGTCATGTCCTGTCATACTGTTGAATAAACTTCTTTCAAGTCTAGCAAGATTATAGAAAAATGTGTCTTGAGAGAAATACGCCTTTGCTGTTTTTTTGCCTTCTAATAATGCTACTTGGCTGGCTGTCATTCTGACCCGCCTTCTGTAGTAGTATGGGCCACTAACCCTGCAGCGTGTATGCAAATAAAGCCTTCTGATTTTCTTGATCTGCCTGTATGATCCAGGTCAGGGACGGAACATTATTAAAGCTAAGTGGTCAGGCAGGTGACTAGAATATTTAGGAGATCAAAAATAGCATATTTCCTTCACGACAGATTTACTTTAAAGGGTAAGTCCGCTTTCCCCCGTCTGGATAAATGTAACTACCCCCTATAATCTGAACCCCTCTCCCCCCTGCTATACTTGCCTTTCTGCGAATGCTTCTTCCCCTTTGCTGGTACGGGAGTACCCCATACTGCCGTGTAGCGCATGCCCTGAGCTATGGATTTTGAATTTAACTCGCAAAAGGCGACCACTCATTGGTCAGCATGGTCAGAAGCGTTTCTCATTCAGTGCTCGCCATTTGCGAGCGAAATAAAAAATCCATAGCGCAGGGCTGTGCTACATAGCAGTACGGGGTACAGATAGCATACCCGTACCAGCGGAGGAGAAGGAGCGTTCGCTGAAAGGTAAGTAAAGCAGAGGGCGTAGGGGAGGGGGCCAGATCGAAGGGGATCGTTTTATTTTCCCAGATTCACCTGGAAAGTGGACTTACCCTTTAAAGCTGAACTTCATTTACACAGTTCTGCCCCAGAACACAGCCTTGCCTGGCAGGTCAGAGGTCCTACATTTTTTGTCCTTCAGGTAAGTAACATTTACAGGTCTTGTCTTTCCATACCCTGTGACTGAGCAGTTAAAGGATTAGCTCATCTCTGTCACTCTGCTGCCTTCCCCTGTCAGCATGTTCCTTGTTAGCGAATGAACAGTTCAGGATAAATAGGAGAACATTTATCTAGAAAGTAGGAGGTTGGTGTAGTGCTGTAAGGGATTCAGATTGGGCACATAAGTCCAAATGGCTCATTTCTGATGGGGAGGGGGTGGAGAAGAATCTCTTTTCAGGATTGGAGCCTTATCAGTACAAATTATTTTTTAATACACTTCAACAGGAGGTTTTCATGTGAAAAATCAATATCCCTATATTGACCAAGTCCATACCTGGGGCAATAGAAACACAGATACATTGCCTTAAACTAATTATAGCAGGGACCAACTGACTAGTGCAGTACAAAGCGTAAATAAAAGTGCTTGTGTTTGTACTTTTTTTCTTTTACAGGAGATCTGGCAGTCACAAGTCGGTTACAGGAAAGCTCAGATAAAATATTAGATGGCTATATGACTTTGGCCATAAACTCTTCTTTACTGTCACAACAACAAAGAGAGGAGCTCAACCCATTGATTATTCGCATTCTTTCAGCTACGTCGCTCCCTGTGATGCCAACTCCAATCAGTGTGTTACAGGTAATGTTTGTTCGGTGATAGAATTCAAGTATTAATTGAATTTGCCCTGTGCTGATTATAGATTTCTGGGCCATAAATGATTTGTTCTTTGTTGTTGTCATTTCTAATGGCTTCTCTTAAAAGGTGAGCTTATCTGACTACCACAATACTGAAGTTTGCATCATTTTCCCTGCCTTTGTGACCAGGGAGGAGACAGTGATGTACAGAGAAACCTAAATGGGTAGCTATATTTAAGATGTCCATGGACAGAGAGATTTGGCTGTCTGATTTATCTGCTTCTCGTCCGTGAAGAAGATAATGTTACTGCATCAGTTACTGCTCTCATTGTTCTAACCTCACTTCTGTGGCATCACAAGAGGGGTGCGGGGGGTGCGGCCCGCACCCGGGTGCCACCAAAATGACTGTAAGTCACCCCCTGTGAAAAGTCGGGCACTCGGTTATGGACAGAGAGCCCGACAGTGTCAGGAGAGAGGAGGGGACCCGGCAGCATACCCCATCCCGCCGGGTGAACGTCCCCTCCTCTCTCTGCAGGCGTCCACCACCAAGATGGCTGCCGGCAGGCGTCAATAAGATGACCATGCATTCGCGATAACGTCACGGCGGGGTGTCACCTGGTCTCCGCTCCAGGTGACGCCCGGCCTCGGGACGCCCTGCCTCAGTTCACAAGAGTTAATTGTAATAGTCAATATATAGTGTGCATACTCTTAAATGTAACCAGGCGTTAGAGGCCTTTGTTCCTGCTTGTGCCATCTAGGGAGGCTGCTGAATGTTAACAGATTTTCTTTATCATTCATTAAGGAACACAGTATCAGTAACAATCTTAGACAATTGGATTATCTCGCTGCCTTCAGGAGGAACTGCACAGTGGCAAAAAAATGAAAACACATTGGCCAGTCAGATGTAATTCCTTCCCACACCCAACAAGTTTTAGTTTGTTGCTAGTGTCCTAGGAAGATAACTAGGAAAGTAGATTCTTCCAAAACAGGGAATTAGAAGAAAGGGAAAAAATTGAGAAAACAGAGATCCGTCAAGTGTAGTCTTATCAAAGTACAGACAGAATTCTGTTAATATGTTGGTTGGAATACTGATACTCGCATCCGTTGGGTTGCGTGATCTACCTTGGAAGGGGTCTCAGACAACCTTATTGAAATGGCTTGTGGCGAATATGTGTGTCCCCACGCAGTTTAGAAGTTGTCCTCAATGCACTTTGGGAATATATTTGGGTGATTTGGAGGCTGGACCGCTCCTGTCCCTATGTTGTATGAAATAGCTGAAGGAATTTTCCCAAAAATGAGGCTCTCCTCAAAGAAAAATGTGCACCAGGAGTTCAAGAAAGAGTTTTGGATATTTTCTGGTAAATCACTTTATTTAATCAAACAAGGCGTTCAGGTACACGGTCGATGCATTTCGTGGTACTGTACGACCACTTCTTCAGAAAGGTGTATGACTGGGCTTACAGCAAATGTTGTGGCGGCCTCCAGCCGATGGACGTCTTTTTTCTTTGTAGAAAAGTTGACCAATTTTTGCTGGGTGATTTTCACTTTTTCTCAAGATTAGTTTTTTTTTACGTCTGTCAAGATTCATTGTTATTCTGCTGAGCTGAGTTCATTATGAAGCTATTTGATTCAGCCAATCTTCTGCACAGGCTGGGAGGTCGTACCCAGACCCAACCTAACCAAAATTGTAGGGCTTGCTTCAGGTAGAGGGCTTTGCTTATGTCACTCCCCAGACACCTGCTATACTGATTTGTTAGCGGCAGAGCATTTTACAGGCCCAGGGCCATGATACCACCTCTGGTGTGATCCAGTCCCCTGGTGACACCCTTGGGCTTATGCTTATGAACAGGGCGAAGAATTCCCTGCAATGTTCACTGGGTTTTGCATGTGGCACTCTCCAGTACTCTAGTACTGAGCTTGTTTGCTGCAGAAATAGGCCTACATCTATGGTAAGTCTTGGGCTTTGCCCTATTCGAGCATGCTGCTCTTTTATTTTTTTCCTGATATTTTTTCTTTTTTATACTAAAACTGGTTAACACACTTGATAAATAAGTGCTGTCACTAAGTGCAGTATTGTTTGTGCACTCTACACACTTTCTTCCTGCCTTTTAGTGTGAGGTAGTTTTCCGCCACTGCTCTACTTGCAATGGTCATGGGTTTTTCCTTGGTTTGTCCTTGCTGTTGCCCAACAGTGACTCAGTCACCTGCGGCAATATAACCTCCCCTGCTTCAGCAGATGATTTTTGAGCTTAGGTCCTTCTTGGTGTATTTGTTAAGTTGCTTAGTGCAGCACAGTATGTCAGATTCTAAACACAAGGAGTTCCTTTTGTTTCTCCCCAGCCTCCAACTCCAGGTCTAAATTTAAGACCCAGTTCAGTTGTAAATCCTGGACCCACAAATCCTGTACACCTTCAGACAAGTTCTTCTCGCAGTGAGGGGATGCTCCAACTTTCCAAAGTGGGGGGACATCTGTTGGCCTTCGTAGACACCTGGATGCATGTATTGGTATAAATGCATGGGTAAAAGATGTGGTATCCAGGGGCTACAAGCTAGAGTTTCAATCTCTGCCTCTACCCCACATTATGTTCTCCAACCTACCTCTGTCTCTGCACAGGCTAACAGACCTCCATGCTGCTCTGGTAGACCTCCTAAGTCAAGGAGGCATTGCCATTGTTCCTCAAGGTAATTTGTGTGTCTCTGGGTGCAGGGATCCACTGGTGGAAGCAGTGAATTCTCTGATGGCTCTGTGTATCAATGCAACTTGGTCTATGCATTTCCTCCTGTGAAACTCCTTCCTCAGCTGCTCCACAGGATCAAAATGGAAAGCATTCCGGTAATTCTCATTGCACTGATTTGGCCCAGATGGATATAGTACTCTGACCTTATGAGACTTTTGGCAGCGACCCTGTGGACTCTGTGAAGTCTGAATCTTCTCTCCCAGGGTTTGTTTTACGTCATGGTCTGTTGCTGTGACAGCATGACTGTTATAGCTAAGGTCCTAAGAGATAGGGGGTCCCTTTTCCCTAGTAACCCCTCCTTTATCATGTCCCTTGGCTTCCTGAAAACCCAAATCCTTTGTCTATTCTTCACCTACCCAATTTAAACTCTCATTACACAGAATAGGGCTAAGCAAAATGTAAGCAAGGTCCATGTTAAATTCTATATAAAGAGCTTCAGAGTGTTAGAAAGGCTTTATTTACACTTCTGAAATTGAATTCTGAAAACAGATTAGACAGTATTTGAAAATGCAAAAAAGTAAAGTCTATGATTGATTTGTGACTGAGATTGCAAGTGTTTGTGGATAAGAATTGACCATGGCTTCCCATGAGCACAGCTTGCGTCTCATTTGTCCTTTTAAAGTTATTTTTCTTCTGATGAATAAAAATAGTATAATGCCCTTTAGAGCTCATTTTGTTTGTTACAATAAACAAACATTGTACCCTTCCACAGAAAAGCAGCAGTAAAGGTTATATAGGAAATGTTACTGTGTAAGGATTTGTAACTCTTTATTTTTATTTTCACAAAACAATCCTAATGTCTCAGGAGCTTTTCAAAGTAGAGTGGACTACCTATGGCTTCCAGTCAGGTTGCAGCTTCCATTTTACTTGGGCAGGGCAGAGAAAGCAAGGAAAATCCGTGTGGTTGATATGAATTATACAGACACTTACTATATGCTTGTAGACAGAAATGATGTGTACCCAGCTCAACATCTCATTATGTCCGACTCTCCATGTAACAGTGACGGGAGTGGTCCCTCTTCATGGGACTAAATACAGTAAGCAAAATTAATTACCAGCAGTCAATTCCTTATTAGAAAAACTTGCTGCACACACACAACGACTGCTGATGTGTTTCAGCCTACATGGCCAAAGTCATCGATTTTTTACTTATGCTTTCAGGACTTTCAAGTTCTGTGTTCCTATAAACACTTTAAGGATAAGTAAACTTACCTCAGAGGAGATCGCTGAGGCGTTCCTTCATTATTATAATGATTTATATAACATAGGGAAGGAAAAATCAAAAATAGATAGGGAATTAGATAAAGAACGAAAAACCCAATATATCTCTCGGACAGTGATCCTAGACTGGAACGGGCTACTACAGAATTATTAGATAAACCCTTTACATTAGAAGAGATAAAAGGGGCAATTCATGCGATGCCGCTGGGGAAGAGTCCAGGCCCAGATGGGCTGACTGGGATATTCTACAGGTCACTGTCAGTGGAATTGGCCCCAATTATGCACACCACCTTCAATGCTATTAGCGAGGAGTGTGGATTCTCTCATCAGAGTCAGGAAGCCTACATAACTCTGATACAGAAAGAAAAGAAAGTGTTTTATTTTTGAATAAATGGGGTAAGAGAAAAGGCACTGGGCAGTGATTGAGTGGCATTCCAGACAATATAGTGCTTTTCGCCCTCTCTTTTCATGGCTAGATAAGTAATGGTGAAGGGTTTATCATCCAATCAAGCATAAATACGAGTAGTTTTTATTGGTTATGACTTATTTTCCACCTGTAATTAAGAAGAAATCAAGAAATTTTAGATGTGAAATAGCCATATATGTAGAGGTTACCGATACTATTATGTAATTTATGGAATTGTATGTGAAATTAAACAAATAAAAACTTATTATGGAAAAAAAAGGCTAAGTAAACTCAAGGCAAAAATCAAATATATACTACAGCTTAGCTGTCCTTGGATGTAGTGGCTGCCTTAGTTTTCTTTTTTTAGGCTAATAACATTTTCAGAAAGTAAGTCAATACTTGTTAAGGTTGCTGGAAATGCAGTGTCCTTGTACCGACTTTCTGTGCGCTGAACAATCTCATCTTGCTTCTGTAAACTACAAATGTTCATGTTCCTCAACTAATGTAGAGGAACAAAGGCAAACATGTTTAAAGTCCAGCTTCCTCTGTAGATACATCCAAGGACTGGTAAGCTGCAATATATAACATTTTAATTTGTTGTGTTTAGAGACATTTTGAAATAATGTATGTTACAGGGGGGCCAGTGGCGTAACAATCACCATAGCGACCCGGGCGGCCGCTATGGGGCACAGGGGGGCCCGGCCAGGACATTCCTGATACCCTGTGGGGCGCCTGGGTCGCTACTGCATCTCACACTGCTGGCTGTCACTGGCGGCTGTGAAGAGGAATGTGCCGATGTTCAGATCACAGACAGTGATCTGTGCAGCGGCGCGTTCCTCTTCACAGCCGCTGCTGAGCCAGCAGCAGCGGTGGAGCAGGCTGTACCCGGCAGTGGAGGAGGAGGGGGGCTCGGGGGTTGGCATCAGAGGAGGAGGCGGACAGGTGAGGAGTGGGACCAGCCCACCTGAGGGTGACCCTGCAGAGCCCACCTTAGAGAGTCTGTGTGGGATCTCAATTGGGCTCTGCAAGGGGTGTAACTAGAGATCAAAGGGGTCCCACTACAAAATTTTGCTATGGGGGCCTGTGATTTCTAGTTACGGCCCTGATGGGGGCCCAGTGTAATTTTACCTACATCCATGTACAGTAATCATAAGGAACAAAAGAACACATACAGTTGTCAGCTGAACTGCTGATGCTATCCAGAAAACATTGCAGATATGCTAGAGTGTGATATAAGTATTCCAGGAACCCTTGCAGACAGATCTAGCTGGGTCTTTAGATTGTCTTTACACAGAACCACAGCGTCTTGCCAGTTATTATGCATTTCCTTTCTCCTAATTTTGTTTAACTGCACACAGTCTTCATAAGATACTCTAATGGGAAAACTCGAGATGAATATTGTATTACCAAATCATATATTTATGTGATTAGACTCCAGATCTCAGATCACATTTGGCTGACACATCTCAGGGAGAAAACTTTTGGCTAAAGAAAATTCAGCTTTTGGGTTCTCCGAAATAAGAGTGCTGTCGGGAAATTCGATTTTGACTTATGACTTTGTCATTGGTAGCTGAGAAAGTAAGCAACATTCCTGAAGGATTAGATGAATGGTTATCTAGGGGTATCATTTTCTAACCTGCTGATAGCCATTGATGGTAACCAATTTTAAGGGGAATATTTATAAAGCAGCAAATTTGCCGTTCAAAAGGTTGATTGATTCACCATTGTTGAATGTTTAATGAGAGTCACATTCACTGCTTTATAAATATTCCCTTTTTATTATAAAAAAGTAAGACTGAATGTCCCACACTATTGGGGTGTTTATATATTAACAGGGAATCTAATAAGTACCAGACAGGTAGAGACTAAACCATAGCTACATATAGCATAATGCACACCTTTATGTCCTAGCACAATTATGTTGATTTTATATTATTAAAAAGATTTTATATTATTTTATGTAATAAACAACACATGGACAGAGACACGGAACGCATGTTTTCTTTAGGGATGTCAATGTTATTTTTGCAGGAACCATAAGTGCAGGTGAGCTGCGTGAATTTCTTCTCGGGCCTCCTGTAGAGATTGAGGTACATGATCGAGACCAGAGGATAGAAGAGAGCGTCAGTAAGCCATCACTTTTCGGCATGGAGCCTGAAGATGAAAAACTGAGTAATGTTGGTCTTGTGACTTCTAAACGTACTGTCCACAATCCATTTACAAAGGGTAACAGACAATGGGATCCCTATGGAGTTGCAAAGCTAAGTTTATCTGAGCTAGTCTATGGTGCCACGTACTTAAACATTTCTGTTCCAATACACAGCTGTGAATGTCCAGATCCCACAGGCTATCAAACAGACAGCAAAAATGGAAAAATTTTAGGAGTTATAGGGTCAGTTGATGGCCCTCAAGCTTCTCCATTGCCAGTGGGACATTATTTGGATGCCCAGTCACTGCTCAAAGTTAGAGTAGACCTTGCAGTGCCACTGCCTGTGAATGAGGAGAGTCCCGATTGTCCCTTTGGGCGTATGGTGTGCATCTTTGAATACACGAACAGACAGCTGTTCAAGGATTTTATCTTTAAGATTGCAAATATCAACTCAAAGGCTCTAGGCCTGGATTTTAACCCTTGGAATGTCACTGTAGAAGCTCTCTCCAGAGTGTGTTTGACTGATGATCAGAAAAGAGATATCTCCCTAGATGTTATAAGTGGTATACATATCATGGACGGCTCCATTCACCTCTTTATATTGGAAGGACTGAAGGACAAAGCTATTAAAGAACTGTGGGAAACCTTATCAAGCAGGTATAGTGTCTGCATCATTTTTGTATATTTTATGTTGGCTTAGGCTGAATACTTTTCTTTATTGTACATTGGTGTAATGTCTGTCACCCGGTGAGTATTTGTACTGTTATGTTTGTTTGCAACTGGTTTTTTAACCCCTTCATGACTGAGCTTGTTTTTAATTTCTGTTCGTAAATGACTGACGCATTTTTAAAATTTTTGCTGTGTAATTCTTCCACGTCAGTAATATACTTTCTTACAAAGTGAACCTACACATATTATATGTTGTTTTTTAGAGGACAGATAGGGCTACACATTTATATCACATATGTGTACCTAACGCCTCACTTAGGACAAATAAAATATAAAAAAGAGGAAAAAACGTAAAGAAAACACTTTTTCTCCAGTTTTGATTTGTAGTATTTTTTACAAAAACAGCACAGCTACTAAAAAATACAATAAATACATTCATTTATTTGTTCTTTATTTGGAAAAACCTCACATCCCTAGAATTGTAGAATTTTTTCTGTACTACTCGGCCTAAAACTAAAACCTAACATTTTAATCTTTTTTTCTCTAAAAGCTAAAGCTAAAAGTGGTCACCTGGCATACAATGTCACTGTCACTAACTGACAGCGACATACTTTAAACATCGCTGTCATGAGGGGGGTTAAAAAAAAGATTAGCCCCTTAGGGTGAAAAACAAATCTAATTTTTATTGTAAGGGGTTAATTTTTATATAAATATAAAAATTATTATTCGAAATTATATAAATGATAGCATAAAAATATATTTAAATATATCATTTTCATTTGTTACATTTATTTTTAGTTACATCTATTTTTTATTTTGTACACTGCTTTACAAGGCTGGCGGTTGCCAGCCTTGTAAAGTAGAAAATAACTGGTCTTTCTAGTAACGATTAGGAATTGAAACGTATATCTAATTAGTACAGAGAGTACCTTCTCTTTTCGTCTGTTAACAACCCCACTATGCTCTTACAGTACATTTGTACAGTTTTTATGTTTTCCAAACTTTGGTGCAGGCCAAAAGGAGATAAAGCAAATCTAGAGACCCTGTACAACTCCGAAATGGCTTTCCACGAGCGGTTATACAAAGATCTTGGAGTCTTGTTGTGCCATGTTCATCTGCTTGAGAATCTCACATCCTTGGTGAATCAGCCACTTCTCTATGTCCGGGATATGGTTCCTCCACTCTGTTTTCATGCCTTATCAAGGTAAGCAGTTCTCCTGAACTAGTGTTAAAACTGATACTTATGTCTTATTTATTTTTCATTTAATTCTTATACCACTGGCAAATTCTGCAGAACATTATCAAGTCCCTGTTACAGCAGGGCATTTAATCCAATGTATCTGCCACTGTTAAAGCCCATCAAAAGTCTCACATCTTTTTTTTCATTATAGTTCTATGCTCCATTGTATGATTTTTTTACTGTGTTAAATGCTTTATAATACTGTTTTCTGCTATTGAAAATGTGCCCATTGCAGCGCTCTATTCTGGCAGCCACCCGCTCTGCACAAGCTTCCTCTCACAGACTTGTTCTGCAAAGAAATGAAGGTGTGGTGTCGGACCAGGTCTATTGGATTACTGAGTGCTCTAAGTCATTCTGGTGACTATGACACTGCACAGTCATATGAAGACATGCTGTAAAATAAAAGTTGTCATAGGACTATGAAAATGGAGGTTTCAGTACAATTTTCCTCGAAATGAATATTCATTTCTGTGACTTCAATAGGGCCTTAACCACATCAAGGTGTGGTAGGGACATTTTATGGAGATGCCAGTCAACCTACCTTAATACTTATAGAGGAAGAAACCAGAAAACAGACATTGGGGGGGAAAAATATAAACTCCAAACATACAGGGGGGAATTTATCAAAACTGGAGCAGAAAGAATCTGGAGCAGTTTCCCATGGCAACCAATCAGTTTCTCTCTTCAGTTTGTTGAGTTAAGATTTTAAAATCAAAGAGATAAACTGGTTGGTTGTCGTGTGCAGCTGCTCCAGATCCCCTAACAGTGTTCTCTACTCAGTTCCCCCATCACACTCAGTATTCAGCCTTCAAACTGCAGGCTGAACGAAGAAAAAATATTATAGATTCCTCCATCAACGCTTACAAGTGTTGATGGAGGAATTTCCCGGTGCCTTCATTGTATTCTGACAGCAGCTGTTGGTCGTTATCAGAATACCAAGCACTTCATTGGCTTGATTTTCCCAAATAGCACCTTCGATCAACTGATTGAGGGATGGCGGCTGAAAGGCCGCTAGCAGCGGCACCCAATGTGTGAATTTCGGCTAGCCGGCCGAAATTCACATAGTGTATGGCCATAGAAAACAAAAGGGAACAGAGCGCCACCTCCATGTGTAAAATCGTTTATTACAATAAATAAAACAAGGGAAAAAAGTACTCACAAACAAACGTTTTCATCACGCTTTAACAACAAACGAGAGGCCACACTGTCTGTTAACCCAACATGGTATCGCCCCGACTATGTAACACGGTAGTCTCCGGTCACATCACTGTGCTACCGTGTTACCTAGTCGGGGCGATACCATGTTGGGTTAACAGACAGTGTGGCCTCTCGTTTGTTGTTAAAGCGTGATGAAAACGTTTGTTTGTGAGTACTTTTATCCCTTGTTTTATTTATTGTAATAAACGATTTTACACACGGAGGTGGCGCTCTGTTCCCTTTTGTTTTCTATGTTCGTGGTGGAAGCACCAGAGCCTTGGATGAGCAGCCCCTCAGCCCTCGTTCACACCTGAACGTTTTGTAGCGCGTTCTACGCTCGACGAACGCTCTACAAAACGCTCAAAAATATAAATCCCATTGTATTCAATGGTCTCGTTCCCACCTTGGCGTATTTCCGCCCGTCCCTAACGCGCTACAAAACGTCCCACGCCTGAAAAGGTACAGGTACTACTTTGGGCCGTTTTGTTGCGCGTTTCCATTGGGGTACAGCCATGTAGCCTTCGAAAACGCGCGACGGTCACGCAACTTTTTTACCGCGAATCGCGGTAAAAAAACGCGCGACGGTTGCGCGACAGACGCGCATATACAATACGCCTAGGTGTGAACGAGACCTCATGTCTGTGTGAAAAACTGTGATAAACTGTTGAAAACTTTGAGTATGCAAGTGGAGCAAGTGGATTTAGCTGGCAGCCATTAGCGCCAAGAGTTAAAGAAAACGTTTTGCCATAGTGTATGGCCAGCCTAACATTATGCTGCCACTTTCAATCCAGATATAGAAAGCTATGTCTGCTCACATGTACTGTATGTTCTGATGCAGAAAAAAAAAAGTTTCTCAAATACAGTGCAAATCCTGCAGACTGTATCCAAGGTCTAATTTAATTCCAGCTGTTTACGTTACTGTGTGGAAATACAGTATGTGGTGTATACCCTGGGAATGTTTACATACTCATTTTCATATTTTAGGTTAGATTACATCTGCAGTGCCAAAAAACTACGAGACGTCATCCACGGGAACTTGCTGCCCTCGGCAGAAATGATCCACCTTCTGAGCCGTGAATTCGGAATTCCATTCAACTTTGCTGGCTTGCTTGCTGACCTTGAATACTCGCCTAGTAAAACAATGGGGATTTCTGAATGGGAAGATAAATGGTGCAGAAAACATTTGTTGCGCAGCTCATTAGATAATCAAAATGAAGCATATCTTCTGTGGAAGTCGGAAACGGAAGGACAAGAGATGAAAGATCACATCAAGGTGGGGACAGATCCACTTGTTGCGTCTCTGTCATTGAATATACGTGTGATGATATACTGTGGTCTTCTTCTGTCTTACATTCGGTATTCGGGCAATATTTAGGACAAAACCTCCCAGAGAGCTATAAGGCTCTTTGTTGAAGGTCTCAGAATGCTTTCACATAGCGAGCACATCAGCCCATGTTAAAACAGTGCTAAAGTTATGGACAACGAGGGAGTGGAATAGGTAACACGATTTAAAGGGGAACTTTGTATCCCATAGTTTTTTTTAGGGTTACGGGAGGACATATTCTAATGTCCTCCTGTGACCCAAAGCTCAGTATATAGCAAGCTATTGCCCACTATATACTGAGAGTGCCGCAGCCGGGACAGATCCCGACAGTACTGTCGAGATCCACCCAGCTGGCTGATTGACAGCGGGCTCTGCCTATCTAGAGCATCTATGCCCAACCCCTCCTCCATCCGTTCCTCCAGTCAGCACTGGAGGATCGGAGAGGGGGATGCCTGGGGGGAGTGATGACTGACAATCACCGCTCTCTGCAGGCAGATGATCGAGAAGTGAGCGAGCGGCGGTATGTGTTCACTCATTTCCCGATCAATAGAGCCGACCTGTGACAGTTTCATTTTCACACTTTGGCTCTAACTATGAGGATGAGTGGAAATCACTCACCTCATAGTTCTCCCTTAATGAACATTAATAAGGGAAGAAAGTAAACACATAAAGATGAAACCAACACTTAAGGTGGATCATTCAAACCGCTGAATATATGTATGTTTTATATTTTATGTTGTAAAGGATATGTGCAGCTAGTTTTGTGGTCCAGCCACATTTGTCAAACTACACAAAGGTCAGGGACACCCTTATTTCCTGTTTCAGCAATTCAGCTTCCTGTGTCACCTCTTCTCCTTACTGTGAATCGGCATCTGTATGTGTAGAATTCTTAGAAAAAAATCTCCTTTGTAAGTGAACGCTGGTTCTTTTGCATGCAGGAAAACATCGAGCAAGTTTACCAATTAAGCAGAAAGGTGAGAAGACCCAAAGTGGAGTATGTGGAGATTGTGCCTGTGGACGGGATGGCTGTTCACAACTACAGCACTCACACATTCAATTCCTCGGAACTGGCACACAAGATACTACAACAGAAAATGGCAGAGGTGAGACACAGAACATCACTTGTTAAACTCAAACTGATTGCAGTTGTATGCATTACATGCTACGCAGATAACACTTTATCCACCTGAGTACCCACCTGTAATGCCCAGTGGCATAACAATCACCATAGCGACCCAGGCGGCCGCTATGGGGCCCCGGTCAGGACATCCCCCTGATGCCGTCCGGGACGCCTGGGTCGCTATGGCATTTCAGGCTGCTGGCTGTCACTGGCGGCTGTGAGGAGAAACAAGCAGCCATTCACATGTGCAGCGGCGCGTACCTCCTCACAGCTGCTGAGTCGATGACAACCAGCAGTTTCCGGGGAGGTGGCTGGGCACGTCATCGGCAGCGATGGAGGAGGCGGGGCCCAGCGATCGAGGAGGCAGGTCTTAGCGATGGGAAGGCGTGCCCGGCGATCGAGGAGGTGGGGCCCAGTGATGGAGGAGGCGTGGCCCGCAAGCGATCGTGGAGTAGAAGGAGGCGGACAGAGGATCGGCCAGACAGGACTTGGCCCCCCCCACCTGAGACCCTGCAGAGCTCACCATAGAGCGTCTATGGTGGGCTCTGCAGGGTCACCCTCAGGTGGGCTGTTTGGGTTATCAGGTGGACTTATCTAGAAATCACAGGGCCCAATACAAGATTTTGCTACCCCTGGTAATACCCCTTCATTACCAGGCTATTTCTCAGTCTTCAGTGATGTGATCATTTGACTGACAATTGCTTGGTCATGTGATAGAGCATCCAAATTAATTGTATATCTTTTGTTTGAGACAGATAAAGCTTTCTTTGGGTGGTATTTAATAGCTACTTGGTTTCTTAATTGTTAATATATAAAGGAAAAATATAAAATGCCAGGACAGTACAAACCCCCCCCCCCAAGATGATTCCATTTATTACCACAATCTTTTGGAAATGAAGAAACAAGGAGCTTGGAAGTTGTGCACTAGATACAGCGCATGATTAATGTACTGGCCATACACAGAGGTGAAGAGAGTAATGTACAGGTCACATACAGTGGGAAGATATAGATGTGGGAGTAATGTGTAGGATAGGGGAGGTGAACGAGTTAATCTACAAATCACATACAGACATTTTGGAGATGAGAATAAGTGGGAGGGGGTGAAACGGTTAAAAAAAAAATTCAACAGTTAAATCCCCTGAATCTGCTGATCCATTAATTCCCGTCATTGATAAATACTCCAAAAATTCCTCCATTTTGAGAGGAATGTGCGTGCTCTATAGTGTGTACTTTTGTGATTGGTCATCATAGTGATCACAAGGGGCACAGAGCCCTTCGGATTGGCCACCCGAGAGTGATTTCTGAAGTGCTGTTTTTAAATGTCACTGCAGAAACACGTCTACTACTCTGCCATTTCTAAACGAACATTGGTAGGGGAGTTGTTAAAGTGACATTAAACCCTCAGATTTGTGTAACATAAACCAATACTGTAATGTGTGCCTTACTGTAATCCATGGTAGTTTCCCTTCTCTTTGCTGTTCTTCCTTTTAAATCTGTATCTCTTCTCATGCTGGGGGAGAACGTCCCTTTGCAGCAGACTGCCTTGTCTCTGGAATGGCTGCTTGGTGTCTGTGTGCAGGTCACAACCTGAGCCAGCACTACAGGAAGAGGCAGTCAGCTGCAAAGGGAAGTTCTCCCCCAGCATGAGAAGAGATACAGATTTAAAAGGAAGAACAGCAAAGAGAAGGGAAACTACCATCGATTACAGTAAGGCACACATTACAGTATTGGTTTATGTTAAAAAATCTGAGGGTTTAATGTCACTTTAAAGTGAAATCCCAATTCAAAAATAGAATGGCCAGGAACTGTAAAAATAAAATCTTTTGCTGCAAAACTCACCTTAAATCCAGAATTGTCCCCGGCGTTGCCAGGCTTCTGAGCTGAATGACGGGCAATATTATTCAACCTACTTCCTGTGAGTCCAGGTGGGGGGTCATCACTTCAGCCCCGTTCACATTGATCGATTTATCGCGCGGTAATTCCCGCGATATCGCGGCAAATTACCGTGCGATATCGCGCTCCAATGCATTTCAATGGGGCAAAGGGTCCTGCTGTCGCGGGGCGTGTGTCGCTTCAGCAGGACCCTTTTTGGAGCGGATTTAGCCGCGATTCAAGCTTGCTCAATGCAAGCTTGAACGCGATATCGCGCGGCAAATCTCGCGATGTCGCGCAATATGCAATTTGCGCGACAAACGCGCGATTTGCATATCGCGCAGTGGGAACGGGGCCTTAGACTGAGATCACAGAAGTCCCAGACTGAGTGGCACTCACACATCAATAGTACATAAGAGCTGCTCAGTCCAGGAAGATGAACAGCCCACTGCCGCTGCTGGAGAAGAGGAACTGGCTTGAAGATGGAAGGATTAAAAGTATGAATGTGAAGCAAATGCTTACACTCAAGAGGCAGCTGTTTTGTGATAGAACCAACATTGTTACAGAAATGTCACCAATGGATCCTCAATAAGTTATTAAATATGATGTAATTTGTTGATCCACAGGAACCACACCGCAGATTCACATACTCTGCAGATTACCAGTCTGCAACTGTATGCCCAGTGGACATTCAGGAGAACAATGCTGCAAAGCCCAGGGAGGAACGGATGACACCAAATGGGTTCATGTACCCAGGATTCAAAAGCAGCATTGATTGCAACTGGCACCCCAAAACACCAGATGCTTCCCGGATACTGGAATTATCAAAGGTGTGTTGCCTATCTGTAGGGTCACTAACCACTCTTTTATCATTTGTATATAAATGGAGATATAGCACAATGCAAGAAAAGCTCAAAACTGACCTGTAGAACTAATCGGCAATAAAACCCATACAGTTTCAGTTACTTTCACTCAGACACATTAATATGGTTTAGAAATATTTGTGAAGTACTGAGATGTTCACAGCACTGAAATAGGGAAATGTTCTGCTAGGTCCCTGGACAACAAGGAAGTTGGGGTTCAAGCCATGAGACAGAGAAACCGGCTATGGGTTGTTACCTATACTGTACGTATTTGGCATTACCTCTCCTCTTCCTTTCCTTGTGTTTTATATATAAAGCTTCATCAATAATATTTAGAAAAATGGGGCAACTTAGTGAATAGGAAAATATAATGACATCGGAGGTTCTGTTTTTACTTCACGACATCTTAGCAACGACATTGTTTACAAAAGTTGTCACACTTTTCTGCATAGAACACTTTGGCTGTGATTCTGCAGCCAAAGACCCGCAACTTCAAAGCTGATGACACCAAATGCTTTTTAGTGGTCATAGAAAGTGGACCTTTGATGGAGTTTTCTTCCTAATCCAGCAGGGACTAAATGCTCATTGTGTTCAGAGATTAACAAATCCCAAGAGCTACATATCTAACGTGTGTAGAACATTATTACGATTATCACTATTTTTCGCTCCACAAGACGCACTTTTCCCCCCCAAAAAGCGGTCAAAAATGTCTGTGCGTCTTATGTAGCGAACCCCTGATGCCTGGCACATGCACTTTCGGGCGCGGGTGGCTGTTTTTTTGTACATTCAGCCCTGGTCCGGACAAGCAGAGCTAAATGTACAGTGGGAGCCGCAGCTCGTTTAATACAAGTGATCTAATCAGATGACTTGTATCAAATCGAGTGGCTGCGGTGATCGTTTCCGGGGCCCCCTGCTCCTCTGGGGGACCCGTGACCACGGCATATGAGCTCACCATAGAGCCCGTAGAGCAGACGAAGAACGTCCGTTTTTCGTCTGCTCTGTGTGATCACTGAGACTGGAGCAATGTAATCACAGCGCCACCAGTCTCAGCGGTCACTAACTACACAGAACCCTACCCTCCCTGCGTCCTATGGTCAGGTGCGCCTTATGGAGCGCAAAATACGGGAAAAATCTTGTTATCCTTTTTGCTTTTTTGCCAATGAAAACCTATGTGCTGGTTGAAAGTGTCTAATAGCGGCTCGACTGATTTGGCATCTGAATTCTAGAGGGTTTGCCCACCCTGGTTATCGCTATAGGTACCTCAGGTCAAAGAAGACTCCCCCAACTGATAGCCATTGCTTTCCTGCATTGTAGTAGGACTGTCTTTTCAACGCATAGACATGCACACATGAGAAATATTGTACAGGTACCTATAAAGAATAATTCATCTTAATCACATTGTGCATATTTGATCCAGTCTGTGTCTGTGGTCAGTTGTATTGTGATCAGACTGTCTGTAGACAGAGAACCTCATACAGTTGGCCTTGTACTGAGAAGACAGCAATAGCATACTGTGAGCTAGGATTGGGGTGTCACATCTACACATTTGCTGAAAAATCTCTTTATGGCCGATGCAAGCTTAGAATTTAGGCCGTAGGTACTCAACACTCATTGTAATTGCTGGCACTTAACAGGCCACATAAGAGCCAAGGTTCCATCAAAAGAAAACTAATCGGCTTTAAGGATACAACAGGTGGAGGACATCATAGCGTATGTCACAATGTCAGAGCTTAGATTGTTTATGTGCAACTAATTCATTACATCTCCAAGCATTTGAATTTAAATACAAGTACATTGCTGCCTGTAAACAACAATGGAAACTGGCCAGCTTCCTGATATTAGGGGCATAGGGAACTGGTATCGGCATTTGGTATCGGCAAGTACCGGGGAAAAATATCGGTACTTGTATTCGATGCCGAAAAAACGGTATCGGTGCATCCCTAGTACACACCCTATGAGATCCCTAGAAAGAGCAACTAAGATTTGTGGGTACACACCCTATGAGATCACTAGAAAGAGCAACTAAGATTTGTGGGTACACACCCTATGAGATCACTAGAAAGAGTAACTAAGATTTGTGGGTACACACCCTATTAGATCACTAGAAAGAGCAACTAAGATTTCTGGGTACACTCCCTATGAGATAACTAGAAAGAGTAACTAAGATTTGTGGGTACACTCCCTATGAGATAACTAGAAAGAGTAACTAAGATTTGTGGGTACACACCCTATGAGATCACTAGAGAAATGTGAGAGTATGAAACCCTGACTCCCTTATTTCTAGTAAATGAAAAGGCTGAATGAATGGTTTACCCCTCAAATGACCCTCCATGTCGGGTGTATCTTCAGATCCAGTCTATCTATCTATCTCAAAGTGGTCTTTCAGTTTTGGAGAGATGCCGGTGTATTCAATCACCAATCAGCTTCTTACACCCATTGGGGCAGATGGATAGAAATCTCTAAATGTAAGATCCCGGCTGCAGATATCGGGTTTCATTCACTTTGCTGAGTTGTCCTATTGCCTACTATTATGAGGATATGAATGGGGGCAGACTTCATCGGGAAGCTTAATGATGCCAGTAGAAGAAGGGCACAGCTGGGTATTATGGTTGGAAGATTTCACAACTAGATTATCTGAGATTGGGATTTTGGGAGGAAACTAGGGTATCCACATAAAAATAGAGGTGCACCGAAATAAAAATGTAAAAACCAAAATGAAACCGAAATAAAAAAGTTGTCAGGCCGAAACCAAAAATGTTTTTACTTAAATTTTTTCACATTTTAAAAATATTTTAATTTATTTTTGATAAACGTTTTCATTTTTTTAATATTTATTTTTATTTGTTAATTCATTTTTGAATTAAATATTTTTATTTTTTACTTTTAGGGGCTTCTGGGAAATATTGGGGGTCTAAACAGATCCCTAATATTTCCCTTTTAAAATAGAAAGAGATTGAGAACACAAAGTCCTCTATCTCTTTTTCTGTATCCCTGTTATCAATGAACAGGAATCCTCTATACTGAGTGTTCCTGTTCATTCATAACTTGAGAATATAGTATGATTACTAGAACTACAACTATGAATGACCAGATGATGATGTAGATCTCTTCCCATTCATTCATAATTGAGGATATAATAACCATACTATGTCCTCAATTATCTACAAACACTCAGCGATCACTGAGTGTTTGCACTCGCTCTCCTCTCTGACGATGTCACAGGAGGCTGAGCGAGCGGTGCAGGGAGGAGAGCTCAGCCTCCCGTGACAGCGCTGTCTCCGCCCTCACACCGCTCTGCCGGACTGTGATAGGAGGCTGAGTGGTGTGGGAGGATAGACACCAGCCGCTCACAGCGCTCTCCTCCTGCAACGCTCGGCCGACTGTCACTTTCTCTCCTCCCCGCTGGGACACAGAGCAGCGCCCAGCAGGGAGGAAGGAAACCTGGGATGCGCCGATGTATTTGGCATTTAGCCAAAAGTGCCATTTTTCGGCCGATACTGTATATCGGTGCATCCCTACATAAAAACACTGCAAATATGAAGAGAACAGAGTGATGATTGTGTTCCTGATTAGATCTAAACTTGAGTCACCATGGCAGCGAGGAAAACATTGCTGACCATTGGAAACAGAGAAAAGAGACTGCAGAAAGAAAGTGGTCCATCAAATCTGCCCCTTTTTCATTTTTGGGGAGATTTGTTTTTTTTCAACCTTCTTATCGGAGTATGGATCTACGTTTGTCTACAGCGTGTTTACATTTACTTACTGTTGACTGACTGACTCACTAAATGTGCTGCAAGTCTGTTCCAAGCGTCAACAATTCTTTCCTCCTATTAGTTGGAGGTCATGTCCCCGTGTTCTCGGCCTTACATTGAAACTACTGCCCTCCTGAACCTTATTCAGAGCCTTGGTTTGGTTTTTTGCAGATTTTGCATTATAATGCTTTTTTTATTTTACAAAGGCTTGTATGTCTCTTTGTGTTATAGCAAAGTACAAGTCATAGATATCCTCTGAAAAAGGAAGGAAAAAGTTTGATTTGTTTATTTCCTAGGCACTAAAAAAAAGCATCATAGCTAGATAAAAACAATAAAAAGTTATTTCCTTAAAACCTACAAAACGGAAAGGTCAGGCATGACAGCCAAATAGTTTCCGTGCAAGTTTAATTAGGTCTTAACATAGCAGTGCCACATCTCCCCTCGCTTTCAGAAAGGTCAAGCTAAGAGCAAATACATATATACTGTTTTTCCTTTTGATTAAAGGCCTGGAAAGAAAATATCCTGCATGCAAATACTCTGCAGCCCACCCTTTCCCGAGACCGCTGGAGCTGGGCTAAGCGAAACATGGATTTCGAGCTGTACAGGAAGCCCCCAGAGAGCTGCTCGGTGTTGGGCATGGGCCCCGAACACCTCCCAGGTAAGGGGAAGCCTTTCATTTCTGTAGTAAAGCTTGTTCCTAATTACAAGTACAGCTCTGTATAAATGTAACTGCAGTAAACTTCCCACAGGACTGATATCATTAGTATGCCTTATTGCTGCTTTCATGTAATTAACAGCGCGGTATAAGATTAAGCCAAAAACACATCCATCATTTCCCCGGCAGAGCTGATATATTTAGATGCGGCTAGACCTCCCTCAAGCGCCCAATGTGCAAATGAATAAACTCTAGAAGTCGGAGTAAGTGAAATGACTGGAGGGGGAAAGTGTACACACACAGGAGAGATATTAAAGAACATGCAGAGGAAATGGGAGGAAAGACAGCACTTTTTATCAGCTCTGTTTAATGTGTTTTCGTGGAGTATGGCACACTGACTCAATCTTCAAATTGGCACCAAAGTTATGTTTCCTGTCTTCTATATCCCCAAACACAACCTTCCAATATTTCCTAGAGCAGAATCGTTCAGTTTAACACTATGAAAGCCAAATATGTTTCTGTTAATCTAGTTCGATCAAGATTGTTGCGGAGGATTAGCAGAGATGCAATGGATACCCGTGTCATTGGCAGATGACAGCCCAGGAACTTCAATCATCTCCGCACAGGGGCTGGTCTGGTGCAAAGGCAGGGGCGGTTCAATGGGCACGGGGAGGGGGACTGGGGCTGTAGACTGGCCTCTCCCAAGCAGAAGCTCCAGATACATAGAGTGGGGCCCTGCTGTCAGTCTGAAAGAGGAGACCTGCTGACATGCTTTCCTGGTGTAATCTGCTTGACTGTAACTTAAAGCAGTGGTTCTCAACCTGTGTAACCTCAGGACCCACTTTTGTCCTCGATCATTAAGTCGCGACCCAAGTCGCAGAGCAGTGTGGGCTGCCGTGCTGTAACGGAGCTCCACCCATACGTGCATTGCTGGTACAGCTCCCATGCACTCCCTGTAGAGGTGCCGGGAGCCAGAATGTGACATCACTCCGGTCCAGGCACCTCTATAGGAAATGCGAGGGAGCTATAAGCATCGAACGTATGGATGGAGCTTCTTTGCGGCCATACGCCTAGCCCACCCCACTTCAAGTAAACACTCAGAGACAGGCAGCATATTTTGAATGGCTGCTCAGTGTAAGAATGGACAGTGCTGTGCTAGAGGGATGCTGGGGAGCCTCTCTCCTAGAAAAGTGGAATGCTTGCAGCGACCTACTGAACACACGGTCGCGACCCACTTTTGGGTCACGACCCAGCAGTTGAGAACCAAGGATTTAAAGCATATGATATCGGCAGTGAACAATCGCAGCCTTTGGAACCGCTGTGTATTGTATATGATATAGCTCTGGTCTTACCAAGCGAGCAAAAATAAGCAAGTCAGATTTCATAGAATGTTTTTCTGAGTTAAAATTGCTATTTTCAATGCGGCACTATGACATTGCAAGTGAAAAATTGTACATACGAGCATACATGCAAAACTGTCTTCCTTGGCAGGTCAGGGTACAGCTCCCATAGTACTGGGAGCCCAAGAAGTCTAATGCCATGTCTGAGCCTTGTCACTAAGGGGCAGGGAATGTGCATTTAGCAACATTTTTAGAAATGTTATTTGAAAGCGGACCTTTACACTCAAAAATCAAATTCCCTCTATGTATGATGAATAATAATGACATAGACATGTCAGGTGTAAAATGCTGATTATGAAACACACTTGCAGAGCATTCACTTCCTACTTTGAAAGGGCAAAATGACTTCAGTTTGCCAAAGCAATGCACACTGGGATTGCCTTGACATCAGCAGAGCATTGCTGGGAAATCTCACGAGATCTCAGGGAAAGGCATTTTTTTCCCCTGAGATGATGTGCATGGTCACATGTCCTAGTCACATGTGCCAGAAATCAGGAAGTAAATGGAGAGCTAGTAATCTGCCCTTAGTAAACATGGCCACTGTCAGAAGACTGGAGGAGAAAAGAGAAATACGGTATGCAAAGAATACAAAGCTGGCAATTATCTAGAAATATGTGTTGGTAGATTGTCATTACTAAACATTTCTAAAGGTGGGTTTGTTGTAATTTTAAAGATATGGGTCGGTTCGTAACTTTATAAATTGGAACTGACTAAAATTGTACTTGCAGGTTAACTTTGAAATGTTGGTAGCCACCAGCAGGTTAACTTTGAAATGCTGGTAGCCACCAAATTGAAAACCTTTGTATCTTCAGGCTTTAGAGGGTTGACACGTCTGATTGGCAGGCAGAAACCCGTCCCTCCTGTTCCCTACATACAGCTAGACAGGCAGTGGAAAGTTCTGGGTTTTGTCAGGAACAATAGTTGAGCCAATATTACAACTCCCACAGATTCCTCCATTGAAAAGAATATACAAGAGTTTGTATGCAGCTGTGGCATAAGCTTTGATTGATGTTCTTGTAGATGATCATTTTAAGGAAGGACAAAAGGCTGCACAAAGGCCTACAGAATATAAGCAGAAAATGAAATTCCATCGATGTCTGCCGCAGACTGAGCTGACCTCGCAGGGACCTCAGGCCAGCGACCAGATGACTAGACTCCAGGGATTGTTAAAAGACAAAGGATCTAAACTAGCTCTGCGGAAGCCTGGACTAGCATTGAAGGTAAAAAGCTACGTGTGCTAATAATACATTTCATCCAAACTCATTATGTAGAATCTCTGGTCCGACTCTCTTGTTCCTAAGTAACCGAGTTCATTTCTAAAAACCGGAGCATACGGAAAGCTTGTTCTTACAAATGGACCAAAAACTTCTTTTAAAACGGCTTTTTGTGAATCCTTTTACCCAACTAAACCAAAGAAAGCCCTAATTCTCACATAGGCCTGCCCTCTAGGGTTGTGCCCACATCACCCTTCTTCAACCCCTTTCATTTTCAGGATATGCCCTCATTCACACGAGAATGGTCCGGCCCATACAGATCTGTGCTGCGTGCACGGCCGTATCAGGCAGCTCCCAGGAAGGACAGGTGCAGCATGTGATTACACGCAGGAGCCTGTCCTTCTCTATGGGAGTACGCAGCCGTACGCTGCCCTACGCTCACCCGAACTGCACGTCCATATGGGTGCGGGTGTCCCTGCTCACAGTGTCCATCCTGTCAGCGTACGAGTATGGACATCCGCACCCGCATGGACGTGCAGTTCGGGTGAGTGTAGGGCGGTGTACGGTCACTCCCATAGAGGACAGGCTGCTGCGTGTAATCACATGCTGCACCCGTCCTTCCCTGGAGCTGCCCAATACGGCTGTGCACGCAGCACCGATCTGTATGGGCCGGACCGTTCTCGTGTGAATGAGGGCTATTCCTTTGACAAAAATGTAAACACCAACTTGAGTGCATTTGTCCTTGGATAGATGGACGCCTTGTATTCATGTCATCATTTGTTTAATTCTCATGTCACGCAGCCAATCCCAGGCTTAGGTGTAATGCAGAATTCGGAAGAACCTACCATCAGCAGGGGATTTATTCCTGGGGAGCTGAAAGATCACAGCTTAAAGTGGACGGACAACATCATCCCACGTCACCACATGGAGCATGACACATTCCATCAACTGAGAGGAAAAGACTTTGAGTAAGTTCAACTTCTTCATTCCCAATAGTGTCATTAATGGCAGGAACCTTCCTTCTTCTGGGTCCCAATTAGAAATATGACCTGTGCTCCTGAAGGGGCCCCAGGGGCTGATCTCCGATAGACAAAATGATGTGGAGATTGTCCGTTGATCCAAACAGGAGGAGATGGTGGATTTAAATTTGATGGTATTATCTCTATCCCTGGAGGACACTGGTCTCTGCATCCGGCAGGTTACATGAAACCTGTTCTGAAAGGATTGTAGGCGACCATCACCTGAAAATGCTAACTGCTTGGACATCACTGCTTCACTCGCTGTCCTAGAACATGGTCAGAGTAAACTCCTGATCTGCACACTTGTTACAGGTCAGTAACTAACAATTGGATCAGCAGGCATGCCAGAGAACTAGCATTTTCGACTCCACGTTAACCCTTTTGTGGCCAAATGTCCAGCATCAGTATGTATCTGTTAGCCTAACAACTCTAATGTGCCATAAGGCTTTCATTTGGATCAGTGTATGGACAAAAACATGCGAAAGAGTGTTAGTCTTCATTTTTTAACTTCTCTCTTCTGTAAGAAAAGTATTTCTTTGTAGGCGCACGTCGAGTCCAGCTAGAGAGAAATACAGTAGCAGCTGTCACAGTTCTCTTTATAAACAAAAATATAATTGCATCATAGCTGACATTAATCGAATAATCAGGAACTATGCTGAATGGTGGGTCCCGGGGGTTAGCTGGGCCCTAAGCTGACAGTCTCATAGATAGAATGAAGCTGTAGGGGAATGTAGATTAATGTACCCTCTGCTTAGTGCATCACGTCCAGGGGAATGTTAACCTACAGACTGAAGATGGGAGGGATGCAATTTTGCTAACTCATTAACAGCTGCCATACACACACACACACACACATATATGGCCAAAAGACAGGCACCAGCTGTGCTTATTGATAGATAGCACAGCTGGTGCCCGTATTTTGTTCTGGGGTGCGCTCACTCGGCACTCCAAAGTACAGTGACCAAGTTGATGCTGACCTCTCCCAGTCACCGTGTACAATCAGGAGCCAGGAAGAGGTTGCTGATCATGTGATCAATGACAGCCAATCAGTGATCACATGGTCAGGAAGCCTGCCTCCACCACCCAGTGTTAATAACCCCTTAGATGGGTTGCCATTAGTCTTGCTGGGATGGATAATGGGGTAGTACACAGAGTTGTTTGGAAAATCAGATTGTAATGCGTAAGGTCAGTGTGTGACAGGTCTTAGTTCCTTGCCACCATCTCCAAAGCTAAAACATGTTTCTCTGGATATCAACTAAACAAATGATTTTCGTGTGCAGCTTACTTTCTACCAATCATTCGTTGCTCCATAAGAAGAGAATCCAGGAATTAACCCAAGAGGAGAAAAACTCATTTGTGGTTAGAAAGTCAGACCCTGAAGACGACGCAGCGATCCAGCTAACAAAGATGGCCGAGGACTTGCTGAACATTATCCAGATCCAGAGCCATGAAGGTTTTCTTCTTCGTATAAAATAAGCTCAGGAAGTCCGTATAAGACCAGCAAATATTACAGAATAATATCATTGTATAGACTTTGTTGTCTTATGATATCAGTCAGGTGCTTTTCCATACATGTATTTTATTCTTAGAGTGCCAATACATTCTTCAGTCCCATGTTACACACAAGCAGGACTAAAAAATAAATCCCAAAGAGAGAAGGCACGTTGTGATTTTTCCTGCATTGTATTATTGCATTAGAACTGCTTAAAAAAAAAAGCAACAGGAATCTAATAACTGTACAAAAGGCGATTAAATGTAGCTGAACGTATTAACAACCATAGTAAAGTTATGGGTACAATCACATTTTAGAACCGGATTCTAGTTGCGGCTTGGATTTCAGAATGTTCTTTCCAGGGGGTGTGAACACGTGTAAGCGCGGTTCTCCAGGACATGCTTTGCGATCTTGCGAATGCTGTCATCCTGGTTTTCAGGAAAGTCTAAGGGAAATGAAAAGAGAATCACAGATCAAGAAGAGCCTCTGCCCCAGGTTAATAAAAGAATCCGCCAGAATTCTGCCTGCAGACACAAAACCGGAGAAACGCCACATTTATATCTCCTCTCCGAGACTATTCCAAAATAGCTACCATGGAAAAATTGTACTTTTATTCTGCCGTTGTAATAAAGTGAAACTTTATCTATGTTCCTGCCGCTGAAATTTCCCCGTGACTCACTGTCCCACCGAAAGCAGAAGTGAAGGAAAGTCTCCGCAGTGGGAAATCAGCAAAATAAAAAACAAGATTGTTCCCCTCTTTATCTAAAATAAACCCTTAAAAATAGTGCTGGTGCTCCACTTTAATGATCAGGCGTCTCATGTACAGTCCATGTACCCATTGCACTCCTGACCACTCGTCCATCAAAGTAACATGGGTGCTCGGTAGTCGCCGGATGGCCACCGTCACAGTAATGCAAAAGAACATGGACACCGGCACTCCAACAGCAGATAAATACGTCTATTTATTGATGTACATGCAAAAAAAGTAGCATAGCACACTTAGCGCATGTAGGTCAATAAATAGACGTATTCTATCTGCGGTTGGAGTGCCGGTGTCCATATACTTTTTCATGTACATACCCGATAACACAACATAAACACCATCAATGAGCTTATGTTTACAATTTGGTCACCTTGATGAAATATTCCACAGCGGCGGGGCTTCAGTCCAGAGCTTTGTGTAGGGTTACACTTGCTTCCAAATACAAAACAAAGCTTTGCGCAGAAACACTATTGGGGTATATTATGATGTTTTCAGTGTAGCAAATAGCTACATAATCCTTAAAGGGACTTGCGTGACTTTTGTCACTTAAAAAAAAAACCAGACAGGATTTTAGTCCTACCTGTAAAATCTGCTTTTGGAATACATACATCACTGCTTTTGGAATACATTCCTAAAGCATTGGATTATTCAATTACCGTCAGATGATTGGACACAGGGAAATCAATAAGAGTTGCCGGGCAGCTCTACATTCCCACAGAGTGGAGAGTCCTCGGTCCTGTGATGTGCTCCAAGTAATGGATTTTACAGGTATGTGTGTATTAACTCATTCAAAATCAGTCCAACAGAGGGACAGGAAACGACGACTAACAGGGCCAAGGAACAACAACCCCAACAGAGAAATGGGAACAGAGGTTTGTCTGAAATAAGGGCTGCCTGAAGGACCTTCTGATCCTACCTGGCAAAGGCCTGAACATCCACCTGGTAGAACTTGCTGTGTGAACAGTGTGATGTGTGAACAGACGCATTAATACTTTTAGTGAAGTGACCAGAAATGGAGGAACTTTCCCTCGCAGCTCATAGGTCTGAGAGATGGTCTGACAAAATAGTCAAACGTGTGAATAGAAGAGGTCGCAGATAGGAAAACAAACTACCCAAACCACGTCCAAACAGTGGAGAAAATGTTCATGATGTTTTGGTGCAGGACACTAGGAAGGCAAAACAATGTCCTGGTTAATGTGGAAGGCAGAGACCACCTTAGGGAGAAAGGTGACCTTAGGTCTGACCTACCACCATAAAGGCAACCGCAGGTAGCATAGCCAGACCTGTATAGGTAATGGCGATGGCTCGGCAGTTTGGGTGAGTAGAACTGAACTTTTTTTTTTTAACAACTAGAACAAATTGAGCAGTTGCAAGGGTAGCCCCACTGCAAGGGTTAATAAAAATGTGCCTGGAGTTCTTCTTTAAATGTATGTCACTGATTAGATGGTGGTAACAGACTACTTACTACCATCTAAAGTTTTTAGATGGAAATACGTAGGCTTAAAGTAAAACAGCAAAGCCTCAAGGTTTATCCACCACCTAAATGCAGTTTCTTACTAAATAATGGATATTTGTAGAGTATATGGGTAAATATAAAGCTGTGGCCAGCCATGCTGTCTGAACCCACACCACTTCTTACCCCCTTCACAGAAACAAAAAACTCAGAAATGACTGAATTGTGTTGGTTTCCTTACTTTTTCCCAGCTGGGCCATCATGTAGTTGTTCTTGAAGCATGCCTCTGTGCAGAACAGGTTTGTAATCAGCACCTAAAACAGCGACAAAGAATCACAGAGTGTCAGAGCATTCGGGTGACGGGTGCGTAAGAGGACCAATCTTAACATTTGCTGTGAGCAACACATATATGCATGTTTAGTATCTCTGAGCAGTACATTTCAGCAAGTTGTCAAATTAACATTTACACTGTCAACATAAAACATTGCCGTGTTCTTAGCTCTTATGTGTGTCAGGATGGCAAGTGATAGAGAAATATAATACAAATATCTGCCGTCATTCTTTGCGATTACGGCACTGGAATAGACCTAGTTCAGTAGAGAAATCCCTGATGCATGAAACCTTCACTTTCAAAATGAGGTCACATGACCCTGTTGGTCCCCTTCCGTTTTCAGTAGATGCCGTCTAGAAGAAGGGATAGCTGCTGATGTTCTGTTGGGTACATGATGTAGTCACAACATACTGGGAGCACTAACGAGACATGACACATGGAGATTTATAGTGTCATCTGTGGGTCAGGGTAAGAGATGGAGAGGCTACGATGTCACTGAAAGTTTCTTCTTCTTAGTACACAGTTTGATCAGAACCGGCAACGCGGTTTTATTGCACTGCCACTATTAGAAAGGAACCATTCCCCAGATTAGGACGGAGACGTCATGCTTTATGTAACAAGAATGCTGGCTGCAGAGCAATAATTAGGACTAATCCCAATAGGATCTGGTATATGAGAATCAGTGTCTTAGGTCCCCAAATTAGAAAGTAATCAGTGTGGCTCGGGATACACATCTTTTCATGTCGACTTTGTATACAATCTAATAATCTCTCCGTAATCTCAGGCTGCACAAAGAGTTAGGACTGCTTCGGTACCAGAGTCATTTTCACCACTGCACCATCCATCACATATGGCAGTCCAAAATCTAATCTCATGTACTTGAGGATCTGAAACAGTCAAATCTTCGGACTTACCTCATGATCATGATTGCGCAGGCCGATGCTGATGGAGCGACTTGCTCTAGATATCACAGCTGTCATGGCGTACAGATTAATAAGAATATCTGCCACTCTCTTTAGTACAAGCTGCTCATCCACAATTGTCTGCAGAAGAAAGAAAAGATTCATTCTGTGGCATACCAAAGTACTGTACGGCAAATCAGGTTCTTCAGAACCGTTTATCACTCGGCTATTTCCCTAATGCCACTCCATGACGGTGACAATGATTTACAATTCTAACAGGAGAGTTATTACATTGCACAGCATTGGGGGGTCAGATAATGTCATGGGTCACTAACAAAAACGGATTGAGATCCCTGATCATTTTATTCAGCAAATCAAGGGCAGACCTTACCTTGCCAAACCTGTACAACAAACTTTCCACAGTATTGCCAAAGTTGTGTACGTTCTCCTCCAGGTTCTTTGCACTGTCCTGTGGGAGGAAACAGATTCATTATCGAGTCATTATCTTGATGGTGTTTAATCAGAAGTGTCAGGAAAGTAGGCTGGGAACAGTACATTTCGGTGAATAACAATTTGCACTTGCAAAACCATATTTAACCATTTGAGCTCCAGCACCTTGATACCCCTTGTGGATCACAGCAAAATTGATTAAAATAATACAAAAATAACATTTTGTCCCGGCTGAACAAGGATTTCTTTTGGCAAGATTGTCATGTAACTTTATCTTAATTATGCAAACTAAAACAAAAAAAGAAAATTAGCTTATTCCTAGTGTGACCATAGTTAGTTTTAATACAAATTATATATCTCCATCTATTATATACACTGAGTGGCCAGATTATTATGACCACCTGGGGTTTGTAGGCTAATTAGCTATAATTTTGCGCTTATGTTGCTAGAGGGCCAGACCATTATAAATAGGGAAGCAGGTTGTTTACCACGACAGTAGAAGTGATTTTTTTCTGAAGATACAAAAATCCCATTTTTTCCTATGGGCATGGTTCTCACTTATCTCGCATATTTCAGCGTGTCGGAACGTGCTGAAAAACGCCCTACGCCCAAAGAAGTACAGGAGCTTCTTTGGGGGCGTATTTCCACGTGTATCCATTAGGATACACCCGGATAGCCCTCGTAAACGCGCGTTTGACGCACACACACACATATATACACCTTGCACTTTAGGCCTGGTTGCATTACCGCTTTGCGACCCACAAAGGACCTTCCCATTGCTGTAGATCATCCCAGACAATACTACCCTTGCAGGTCTGGGAGCTTCTACTCTGTATGCACTGAAGTAACCAGCATCTCTAATCTGGAACCCAGTACCCCACTGTAATTGGATCTTCTTCATCAGCATCTTCCTCAGTTCCGTTGGATGAAATTGAGTCGCTTGCCCTGGCCTTTAGGGACCTCCATGTCCACTCAGGACTTTTTGACCACATGTGCTCAACTTCACATTGATCTCAGAGGCTCTCGACATTATACAGTGCCATCCTCTGCAAAGCCAATCTCTGACCCCCCCCCCCCCCAGGGTCTTGGATCAGGCCAAACCACTGGTCTCTCGGACTCAGATTCAGAGTTCCAACAGTCTATTTCAGACGATACTGTTTTGTGGGGCACCAAACTACATGCCATCGCCTGAGACTTTTAGGGAGTTGTGCTGGATCTTATTGATGTCTTGGGTCTTTTAGGGCTGTTGCAGTTGCAAAGACCTTCCCTTTGCTTGCTCCTATTTCCTACCCCTGCAGGTGGCACTATACCCAGTAGGAGATAATCTAAAGCAGAGCTCTGACCTCCAATGAACTGAAGAGAAAATGAGTTTTAGGAATGTACCTTTTCTTCTACAAGGTTGCTTTAACTGAAATCATGTGCTGATCAAAGGAAACTCCTTTGATCTGCACATAACATAACAATAAATATGACATATCAACAATCACATTGTATACATCAATGCAGCACAGAGCCAGACTCTGCTGTCAAAATTCAAAGCTGTGTCTCACGGATAACAATGGCTGAACAGCCATAGCAGTTTAGAAGGACCAGGGTGCACACCAAAGGTGCTTCAATGAAGCTTTTTGGGAGTACACAGTACACTCAACGTCCAGTACTAGTCAATACCATTGCGCAAAGGGTGACATTATGCAAAATGATAGTGGCCACCAAACAATCAGTATTTGTGCAATATCATAATTGAAGAATCTGAAGTAGACAAACACTAAGACGCTAGAAGTGCCCTTTGACCTGCCATACTGAACAGCCAGATCCACATGGATACAATTTAGTATTCAGCAAAGTGCACACTTACTTGCAGACTTGGGTGAACAACTCCGTCTTTTCCTGTTAAGCCCAAATTTACATTCATTCCGATGCTGTCCCGTAACTTCTTGTTGATTATCCCTAAAGCAATACCAACACCACCTTTCTTCAGTTCCCTACATAAATGTAAATTACAAACAAGTTAAAAAGCTTCATGGCATCAAGTAGAAAAAAAAATAATACATCGGTGCATTCCTAGTCTGTATGTGTATCGGCCGGAAATGGCACTTTTGGCATAATGCCGAAAGTGCCATTTTCTGGCCGATACATCGGTGCATCCGTTCTCTCTCTCCTCCCCGCTGGGCGCTGCTCTGTGTCCCAGCGAGGAGGAGAGAAACTGTCACGCGCTGTGAGCGACCCGCATCTCTCCTCCCACACTGCTCAGACTCCTGTGACAGCGCGTCAGGAAGGAGAACGAGTACAAACACTCAGTGATCAGTGTTTGTAAATCATTGAGGACAGAGTATGTATACCGTATCCCCAATTATGAATGAATGGGAAGTGATCTACATCACTTCCTGTCCATTCATGATAGTGGATATAGTAACCATACTCTGTCCTCATGTTATGAATGACCAGGAACGCTCATTATAGAGGATTCCTGTTCATTGATAACAGGGGCTGCAGAATAAGAGATTGAGGACTATTTAGACGCCTAATATTTCCTGAAAGCCCCTAAAAGTACAAAAAAAAATATGTTATAAAAATTAAAGTAAATAAATATAAAAAAATTAAAAAAAGTTTATAAAAAAATATTTTAAAAAAAGTGAAAATGTTAAAATAAAAAAAACATTTTCTGGTTTTGGTTTTATATATTTTTTCTATTTCGGTTTCGTTTTTTTAAATTTTAATTTTGGTGCACCTCTAATACACACACACACTTGCAAGAAAAAGTATGTGAACCCCTTGGAATTAACTGGTTTTCTGCAGTAATTTGCCATAAAATGTCATCTGATCCTGATCTACAGGTCACCCCAATAGACAAACACAATGTGGTTAAGGTGATAACACACAAACAATTCTAATTTCTTGTGTCTTTACTGAACACATTTATTAAGCATTCACAGTGCTTAAAGAAAAAGTAGGTGAACCCTTGGAGTTAATAGCTGGTTGAACTCTCTTTGGCAACAATGACTTTAAGGAAGCACTCTCGGTAGCTCTGGATCAGACCTGCGCAATGTTCAGGAGGAACTTTTGACCATTCCTCTTTACAAAACTGCTTCAGCTCAGACACATTTGTAGGATGTCTGGTGTGAACGGCTCTCTTGAAGTCATCTCCTTGGTGGCTAAAGTCTGGGCTCTGACTGGGCCAATCCAAAAGGTGCATTTTATTTTTCTAAAGCTGTCTGTAGTGGATTTACTTTGATGCTTAGTCCTGCTGCATCACCCAACTTCTACCAAGGTTCAGCTTGCCCACAGCCATTCTGACATCCTCCTGTAGGGCCTTGGTTCTCAACTGGAGGGTCGCGCCTTCATGCCTTCCACTTTTCTAGGTAAGAGGCTCCTCAGCCTCCCCCTAACGCAGCACTGTCAGTTCTCGCACCAAGCAGCCATTCAAAATATGCTGGTCGGTGCCGAGTGTCAGCTTTTCGGTGGGATGGGATGGGGCTATGGCCGTGAGGGAGCTCCATCAATACATGCATTGCTTACAGCTCCCTCACATGTCCTATAGAGGTGCCTGGACAGAAGTGACATCACATTCTGGCTCCCGGCACCGCTACAGGGCATGCAAGGGAGCTGTACAAGCAATGCACGTATGGATGGAGCTCCGTCACAGCAGCCCACACTGGACCCCAGGATGAGGATCCACTCCAGTTCTCGTAAGGTAAGGAGACTGGGTGGATCTTAAAAGAAAAATTACAACATTTTTGGATTGTGTATGCGTGAGAATGTCTGAGTGTGTGAGATTGTGTCTGTGGTTGTGTATGTATGTCAATGATTTTGAGGGCCACTACATACTAGTACAGTGCTTAAATCGTATAGTACCACACGATTAACGCACTGTACCACGTAATTTCACCTACTGCGCGTTCTGGTGTGGGAGGTGTGTTGTGTTGCTATTCATTTGAATTGTACCCCAAATGCACCTCCCACTCACAGTTTGTACGCCGGCACCAGAACGCGCGGTACCCTAATGCCGTACGTTCCATTGCAGTGCGACTTGGGCCGCGACTTAATGACCAAGGACAAATGTGAGTCCTGAGGTTACACAGGTTGAGAACCACTGCTCTAGAGTAATCTCCTGCGCTCCTCCCCAGGCAGCTACATAAAAGGCTATGCGGGGAGGTGAAAGGAGGGGTGGTGGAGCTGGGCCAGCAGAGTCTTATATTAATAATTACAGTAATTAGACACTCCCAGAAGAGGAGAGAGCTATGATATGCAAGGATACGGCAGGTTGTGCTAGGTAACTTGTCTAATAAAATTTTCTTGCACATTGTAAGTCAATAAAAATAAATGATGGAAAGGAAAAACACTGAAAGTAGAAATGTATAATACTTCATTTTTCTGTGCCTTTACCATCAATTTTTAGGTTGATGACATGGTCCCTATAAATATACTTTAAGGACCTTAAAATTGGGAGATGTGTCCTAAAAAAACGTCAACGTTTCTAAGATGAATCTTCCGTGTTCAGTTCCTCTCCCCTGCTGCCATTACTGGCAGAACTGCAGTCTGACTCTCCTGATGCTGCCAGCACAGGACTCATTAATCCTCAATGTATATGCAACCTGCATTGCAGTAATAAATGAAGAGGCTCCAACTGGGCTTTATTAAAGAGTGGACACAAACAAAACTTACTTTATTTTACCGGTCAATATTTTCCCTGCATGTTGCATCCCTGTAAGGGCAATGTACATCCGCAGAATTTCATTTGTTCCCTGCATAAAAAATAATAATAATTTCAATTTCCAATAGTTTTTCCTATCATTGAAACATAAAATATCCTACATCCTGTACTCTCCGAAAGCTTCCACATTTATTTCGCAAGCTATCTGGCTGAGTTTGTTGGTGAAGAGATAAACGCAATCTGACAACAGGCAAATGAACGCATTAAGCACAATTAAACTTGAAGAGCCTGAACACTAATGGGATGGGTTTATTTCAGCAGATCTGGCAGGAATATGATCCAAGTTCAGGGCGGTTGACGGAAATATGGTAATGGCCACATTTGGGGCTTCAGACAACTTACAGATCAGAGCAGTAGTGCAAAACTGACTAAGCAGCACAACCTTGAATACTGTGTATGAATAGGAGATTATGCCAAGCAAGGAGTGACGGGCAGTAGCAATCCATCTATCTCACTATAAAAGATTTCTATTTGAATGACACTTACATTGTTACTTAATAAAACCAATAGATTTTAGGCTGCATTAGCCGATTCAATGAGGCAGTTTCCACAGCTTTCTAACCATTTCACTACTATACTATTTGTTTCTAATGAATAATGTCACTCCATCTGCAAGAGCTGTGCTAGTCAGGAAACTTTGAAGTGACCTGTTCTATAGTAGGCTATGTTTAGCTTTTTTGAAGTCCTCCTAATGAATGACAAGCTAGCAGAACTATTTCCTTGTATTATCTGAAGACTTGGATAAAATCATGCACTGGAGTGTTTATGGACATGCGCTGTACAGTAACTTCTACAGAATATATTAGGACAGGATGCATCTTATGTCAATGTGAACCTATAGATAGAACATAAGATTTCATCAGCCAGTTGTTATAACCAATCTTGTACTTGATATGTTTTTGTCAGACACATTGAAGTATAATTTAAACATACAGGCAGTCCCCGGGTTATGAACAAGATCAGGTCTGTAGGTTTGTTCTTAAGTTGAATTTATATGCAAGTTGGAACAGGTACATTGTTAGTGCAACTCCACCCAAATTATTAATTTTATTATTATTAATAATTAATTTTGGATAGCATAGGGAAGGGTTAACCCCCTGTAAGGTTTGTTTTGCTCTGTGTGCCCCTGTTCAGAAGATTTCACCTCACTTTCTGTCCCTGTGACATTTGGATTTGGAAAATGTTGGGTTGTCATGGAAACAACAATCACTGTATTGTAATCTACTGTCACAATACAATCATAGTTTGGTCTGTACTCAAGAGTATTCAAATTCTGGAACATGACCTGCACTGGCATCACCATCGACACAGCAGCACTGACCATTGGAGAAGCAGAACTTGAGTAAAGGTAGACAAGCATATTCTTGCTTTATGAGTGGGTTGCAGAAAGAAGGGAGCTGCTAGTGATATACTACCTGGCAACCAGCGTTAAAGGGTTACTTCACCTTTGTGGTGAACTTTCTAGTGCGTCCAAAGGACCTCAGTACGTTATAAATCATTGTGGAGTGATGAGAATGTTTTTGTCCTTCAAAATCGCATACTTGCAGGCCACCTACAGCTTCCATCCAACTTGAATCGGATGGATTGATGGGCAGCACAGAAATCATGCAAGACATCCCAGCATACAAGGGGCGGCCAGAGCAATAGAAGACTTTGGGCTGGAGGAGGCTGTCCCTGTCACAGGGAGGTAAGTAACCCGGGTAAGGGCAGCCTAGGTTAGATTAGGAGGCTAGAGACTGAAGGCTTGATTTTGGTTTTGGTTTTTATAAACCTGAATTTGCCCTTTTAGCCCAAAATGTCTAAATGTGGTGTAAAAAACAGAAGACTTTTATATAAGCTCTACTTCAAATGTTATACCTCAAAATAAGTGTTTTTTATTTTTTCGAATGCACTACAGTAAAGTTCTTGAGAAGTGTACATGTTCAACAGATGAGGTTTATGGAAAACAGAGCTCACTTACCTCAAAGATAAGAAGAATACGACTGTCTCGAAGATAACGCTCGTATGGATAATCTTTCATATAACCCAATCCTCCGAGGATCTGCAAGGCTTCGCTGACACATTGCCAGGCCCCTTCAGAGCTGAACACCTGATACAACAAAGACCATTACCATATTAAAGAGCACCTGTAGCACTGGAAACAATGATTTTGGAATGATGTTTAGTTAAAGGAGAACTATGGGGTCAGTGTTTTTCCCCATAGTTCTCCTTAGGGTAACGGGAGGACACAAACTAGCATCCGTTAGTTTGCTAGTAACGGGTACCCCGTTACCCTAAGCTCAGTATACTGAGACGCCGCAGCCGGAGCGGTTCCCGACCTGAATGTCGGGATCCGCCCAGCTGCGTGAGTGACAGCTGGCTCTGCCTATCTAGAGGCAGAGCCAGCTGTACCCGCCCCCTCCCCCGTCCGTTCCGCCAGTCAGCGCTGGCAGATCGGAGTGGGGAGAGGGGAATCCAGCCCCTCCCCCTATCACGGCAGAGAGCCATGACAGGATCGAGAGGTGAGGGAACCCGGTATGTGTTCCCTCACCTCCCGATCTACTGAGCCGACCTGTGACAGTCTCATTGTCACAGGTCGGCTAGAACTATGAGGTGAGGGGGAATCACTCACCTCATAGCTCTCCTTTAGGTTCTACCTCCAGTACACCTAAGACACAACCTTCCTTAGTATGCACCATTTACTGGGAATAATCACCAATAAAAAAAGATTAGATAATTAAAAAGAATAGAGGCGCTAACAGAAATGTTTGTCAGTGTGGAATGGCCTCAAACCTAAGAATTCTATACATTTTCCTTGCTGTACTGACACTGTAACAAACAGTTTGGAGACACAGGTCTTAAAGAGAAACTCCAGAAAGGTTGGTGCTCGAAGTGACAACACAGATGGCGCCGTGTCAAATACAGTCCATAATACAAGTCACCAACACTAGACAACTGTCACTGTGTCGCCCAGAGGAAGGGACCCCCGTGGCCCCGAAACGTTGGCTTTATGACAATTTAATAAAAAGTGCTTTACTTCTTGCACATATCATCGAGTGCTGGTGACTTCTATTATGTCTGCTACACCGGTCCCTTCAGCCTCTTCTGTCCGGGTTTTGACATTCTAAGCCCCGCTGATGTCATCACTTCTAATGCAGGTCCAATCATCTGCATTAGATGTGAGGATGTTGAGTAACATACCACAGCCAGTGCAGAGGGGGAGGGAGATAAAGACTGACTGCCAAAGGATCGAGGATCAGGTCAGTATATGTTCTGCATTCCAGCCCCTAGACCAAAACGAGCAGTTAACCCTTGCAGTGCCGGGGGTTAATAGCTGGAGTTCCTCTTTAAAATTCAACAATTTTTATCATAAAGGTATCTGCATCCATCATCATACAGTAACTCTGCCAGTAATTATTTAAAATAAACTGCTCCCCGCATAGAAAACATGGAGTACGCCCCCTCCTTCTGACCATGGTGCCAATCTCTCTAGAACCCTCAGCTGAAGATCTTGCAGAATCTGACACTTCTAGGAGTGGCCACTCACTGTGGTTCCTCCCACCAGACCCCGACACTACTGCAGGACACATTAGCGACATAGGGGCCAGCGAACAAATACAAAGGGGCGCAAAATTCCACACCTTAATGTGAATACAACAATGCACCGCAATGGAATGGACAAGTCCAATGGGGTCTTAAAGCTCCCTAAAAGCTATAAACCCCAGCTGTTTTAAAATGTAAAAAGTAACTTTAGTTCCTTTTTGGATTGCTGATGGACCATCTTCATGATGGAAAGCCTCAGTAATAAATAGGTATAGAAAGGGGTGCAGCCAAAACAATCTTTGGAACTAAAGTCACTATTTGCATATTAGAGTTCCCCGCATAATTCAATTCACGAACTAGAACTGCCTGGATTCCCGAATGTTATGATGCCGATCATAAACCTACATACAAATAGTTAAGCAAATTAGAAATAAAAATGCAGACAAAAGCTGAAGCAGATGTGCGTAGTAACCAATCAGCTACTCTCTTCTGTTTGTTCAATTAAGCTTTCAAAATGAAAGATAGAAGCTGATTGGTTGCCATGGGCAACTGCTTTAGCTTTTGTCTGCTCCCGTTTGGATAAATACCCCTCATGGTGTACTAAGTAAAGCAAAAGCAGAATTTTCAGGCACTAGATACATTTGTAAAATAAAAAGTATAATATTACCTTAACCATAGCAGCTTCAACAGAGCAATCTGGTAACCCTGGCCGGTCCATCATGCCAGAAGTGAGGTAAGCCATGCTTTCCATAACGTAGGCATTCTGAGCCATGAGAGCAAATTTCTCCTAGAGAATGAGAACAGCTTGTTAGTCATTCTTCATATCTATAAGTTATCTGCATATACCTGGAGACACTTTCAGTGCTTCAAAGTCAACCATTCTGATCTGGCAAAGTCCTGACACTTCCAGGTAGAATTAGAGCTTGGCCGCTACCTCTCACCCTTGTTACAGTCCTATTGGCCCCCCCCATCAGTATGATGGGCCGACTCATTGGCCAATAAGAATGTGGGAGGCTAGAGGGGACGGTCAAGCTCTCACGCTACCAGGAAATGTCAAAGGTTTCCTTGAATTTTTGTTGTGGTTAAAAGGAGAACTATGAGGTGAGTGCTTTTCACTCACCTCATAGTTCTAGCCGACCTGTGACAATGAGACTGTCACAGGTCGGCTCAGTCGATCGGGAAGTGAGCAAACACATACCGTTGTTCGCTCACTTCTCGATCCTGTCACAGCTCTCTGCCGTGATAGGGGAGGGAGCTACAAAAAAAGCCTATATCAGTTATGTGTGGGTATCGGTAAGGTGACCTTCATGTTGCCTTCTTATATCTACTCAGTACACCAATGATGAGATCTCTCAACCATTAGACTAGATTCACCAGATGCCGAGCCATTACAAAAGATGATAGTGGCACACTCCTTTAAATAATTCTTGGACAAATCATTGCAGAATCCAGCGGTAAGTGTGTAACAGCATTGATATAGCTTGGAAAGAAAGCACAAAAGAGGGCGCCTTTCCTGGTGCAGTCAAATTTTATTCAGATAGTAATATCAATGGAAAAAGGTACTCGCAAACGAAAATAGGATATAAGCCATAAGATGGTAGATGAATGGCAGGCAAGTGGACATCAACAGAGTGGTTCCAATGTGCAAGCATGAAGATCTGCGTTGACGCCTTTCCGGGGCACGCCCCCCTCGTCAGAACAACTGATCAACGCACATTGGAACCACTCTGTTGATTTCCACTTGCCTGCCATTCACCTACCATCCTATGGCTTTTATCCTATTTTTGTTTGCGAGTACCTTTTGTCATTGATACGACTATCTGAATAAAATTTACCTGCACCAGGAAAGGCGCCCTCTTTTGTGCTTTCTTTCCAGACTTCACAGTCCCCCTGGCTGTAGTGGGGCAGCATCCTGCAGCATGCCCATCATCACATCCCTTTGAGGAGTGATAGCCCTTGGCACTTTTTTACTTTTAAACTGTTTCTAGCCTTGCTATAGCTTCCTGGAAATGAGTTTAGACACAAGCCTACAGCGATCTTCTCTTTGGAGTGAAGTTGGGCTTTAACCCCTTCATGACTGAGGCCCTTTTTTCCATTTTTGCACCCATGTTATATTCCACATTTTAGGCCTGAAAATGACGTAAAACCCCCCAACATTATATATTTTCTGAATGCCAAGACCCTATAGAATAAAATGGTGGTAGTTGAAAATTTTTATGTTGTGCAATATTAGCGCAACTCCTTATTAAACCCCAAAATTTAGTGACAAATTTAATTAAATGCCCCAAAACACAACAAATTACCAATTTTTTAAATGAAATATAAAAGATGAGGTTACAACGAGTAAAACGATACCCAACATGCCCAGTTTACAGATTGCGTGCGACCGTGAAACGGCGAAAAACTGCAGTACCCCAAAAA